TATATATATATATATATATATATATACACACACACACACACATAATGTTTGTAAGTATCATATATTTTCTCTAGCATAAATGATGGTGTTTTAAAGGGGGTATTTAAATACATACCAATACACCACCGAATTCCTAGTTTTACTTTTACATTTATGCCTCCCAAATCTTTCATATCATATAAAAAATAACAGCATTTTAACATTTAAAAAGTGAAATACACATTTTCATGCAAAGAAAAGGTGAAATGTAAGTTATAAATTTTAGGTGGTAGATATATAAATACATAAGAATTGAGTGGTATGTATTTGCATACCATAAAATTCCTATATACTTGCATAACTAAAACATAATTTTACTTTTACATTTATACCACCCAAATCTTTGATATCATATCAAATAAAACAACAAATACACATTTTCATGCATAGATAAGGTGGAATGTATGTAAAAAATGAAGTTTAGGTGTTACAAATGAAAATACATAAGGATTAACCGGTATGTACGTAAATTTTCCATTTATAAAATAGCAATTTGTGTCCGTGCTAAGAAAAATTTTTTGCTCCTCAGATTTTTAGTACCGATCTGTAAATATGAATTGTATGTTCTTAAAACATACCCTGTCAACGTCAAGTATGTCATGAGAGCTTTTAGCCATCAATTTGTTGAGAATTTTCTTTGTTTGCTCTTTCTCTCGAGCTCCCATACCCCTTCCTTCCACAACAGGAAGAAACTGCAAGCAAATAAATAAAAAAAAAATTGCAACATGAACATCTTATTTGCATAAAAATTCAAAACAAAGAAAAAATTATGTAAAGTTAAAGCTTAATTAGTCCACAAGATTGACCTTTCGATGTTTTCCAGCATGCTTGGCAGGTTTCTCTCCAGGAAGCTTCTTATCAAATTTTCCGCCGCTTGCTGTCGCTGTCGCCGCCATTCCGGCGACGCCCTCAAGCTCTTCTTTACTGGCTTTCTTTGGTATTACATTCTGAGTTCCAGTGATGGGTAATGCTGTTGCAGCAAGCTGGATATGACTGCAGAATCACCCAAAAAATTTATAAAAAATCCCACTCGTTTGTAGCTTGGCATAAAATTTAGGGAACTTTACATACATACCACACAATTCTTATGCATTTACATATCTATCACCTAAAGTTTAAGCAAAATGTTAGTGATAGTGATATTTTTTATGTGATGTTAAAGATTTGAGTGTTATATGTATAAATATGAAAGCTTTGGCATTAGATATGCAAATATATAAGAATTGTGTTTTATGTATATAAAAGCCCCTAAAATCTATCAAATTAAACTAAAGAAAGCTAAAACTGCAAAATCAATAATTTGGTTTGTAAAATATCTAGTTACAAAGAAATTCTTCATTTTTTTTTTTTTTTTTGGGGGGAAGTATAAGAGGAAAACAACCTTGGCAAATTACCAGCTTTGAAAGCTTGTTTGAGATTCTGCAACCGGTTCTTCTCTTGTTTTTCAACCCGTTTCTTTTTCTCATTCTTCCTTTTGCCGAAAGGATCCTCTCCTGGCTCTACAAGAGTAATGGACAATGATTTGTATATTGAATGAAAAAGTAAAGACTTTCCTCTAAAATTTTATGTTAGAGGGATCATATATATCGAGCTTATAAAATCCATATTGATCAGATAAAAATTAATCACTAGAGGAATTTTGAGAGAGAGAAGTGCTGAAATGGTCCCATGATTTTTTACAGGGAGCAACTAAAGTCGCAGAGTCTATACAAGTGTCAAATTAGTCTCCAGACTCTTTTAATATATGCAAAAAATAATCCTATATGGGAACCATTTCAGCCCATATTAAAAATGTTTGGGGATAAATTTGATATTTTTATATACCCTAGAACTAGAATGACGCCATATAAATAGTTAAAGGGTTATTTTGGCACTTCAATCTATTTTGAAGGTGAGCCATATATAAGAAGAATTGGAGAGACAATTTCGTGTATTTCATTTTACTATAAACAAAATGTATACAAATCTTGTGAAAGCGTCTAATAGAAAAACTATAAAATAAGTGAAATGAATATATTACAAAATTATTATATTTGTCCATATAGTTTGATAAGAAGATAATAGAGAACCCATAGATCAGATGGTAACAGCAAGGAAATGAAAGACTGAAAATTATGAGGATGTTTCATACATCTCTAGAAGTTGTTCACCTATGACTACAAGAAGATTATAGATAACTATTGTCAATTGCCTCATTTAAAAGGTGTCCATCAATTCAATATGCTTTGTAAGGTCATATTGCACATAAATCTATATAATTTTGATGGTGGTATTGTTATCACAATAGTGTCTCACTAAACATTTTTCATTCAATTTTAAACTTCTGGAATTTATTTAAGCCATAACAATCTAAAGATTCCAATGCCACTAAATATTTTTATATTAATTTTTCTAAGTTACAAGCTTGCCTCCCAAAATATTTTTATAGAAACCCCCGGAGCGTCCAATGTAAGCTTCATCTTCTAGTTCACCATATAAGAATGCATTATTCATATTGAATTTTTACCTCCAGTCTCTATTAATGGGGAAAAATAAAAATCCCAAACAATGTACATTGTAACAATTGAAGCGAAAATTTATAATAACTAATTTCATATATTTTATTGTAGTCTTTGACCATTACACTAGCTTTACAAATTTCAAACAAAGCATGGGATGTATATTTGATAATAAAGCCCCATTTACATCCCACTGGTTTCTATCTTTTCAAGCATCTTATCCATTCTAATGTTTTATATTTTAAAAGGGTTTTAATTTCTTCCATATAAAATTAATTTAGATATAAAAATAGTACACGAAAATAGCATATGGTGGTTTATTTAGCTACTCTATTTTGTTGGAGAGCGTTCCTTCAAAAGTATTTATATATTATTTCTTTTTCTTGAAAGTATGAGCTGGGAGTATAACTAAAGTGTTTATTTGACATTGACGAACTTGATTCTTTTAATTTCAACATTAAATTAATTTTTAGTCATGTTGAAAAAGGTGAAAAGGATGATATCTCATTTTTCTATTTTAATTTTGTTTTAAAAAAGATCATACCACATGAGTGCAATCATCAATTAAAAAAGCAAACCATCAAGCTCCATAGATATTAGATGTAAATGATGGTATTCGAATGCCATTTTGAATGAAAGAAATAGGAATAAGGTTTCTTATGACATTCACAAAAAATTTAGTATATTAGTATTTTGCTTGTTCGCAAATAACATAATGAAAATTTGTAATACTGATTTTTGAAAATAGTGAAGAAAATATAAATTTAAGAACAATAGAATATGGGCGGCCAAGAAAAGAATAAAGACGGATTTATTTCTGTTAAACATAAGGGTGTTTAAGTTAAATGTAGATTTACTGATCATTGGATTTTTCAATATAGATAAAAATGTGTATAAATAAGAAAGCTTAGTGATAGTACCTGTAGAAAACACATTTTTTTTATGCTCCGAGCAAACTTTTTTTTATCTTTATGTGCCTTATTGATGACCTTTTCTTTTCTCCTGTTAAAAAATTTTCTAACCAATTGGGATCAATTTAGATAGTTCTTTTCATTCAGCCGTTATGTTAAATGGATGTTTTACAACTCTCCCAATGGATTTTAGATTGAATCCCTCCATTAAAAGCAAACCTTAAACCAAGGATAACTGAGTATTATTGTTGCTTCCATGGAGAGGAAATCGTGGTGATTCTCTTCATGGGAAAAAAAAAAACAGAAAAGAAATGCAGATGCAACAATGAGAATAACATGCAGCCATGCAACGATGAAGACGGAATATTAAGAAATGTCTGTCCATGCGATGATTAAGACTATAGTTATAAAGAAATAGGAGAAAAAAAATATAGTGCAATAATGAAGTCTGCATGCATGATTGTGGAAATGCAGTGATGAAGGTTATAACAATGGGGGCACAGCAATGGGAAGAAGCCTAGTGATCCGATATCATGATAAGAATTGGTGAGAATTAATTTTATGTATTTCGTTACAACATGTATAAAAATTTGTACACTCCCCGATATCCGATCCGATATATATATATATAGAATTTGACAATAGAATTAATTACCGATTAATTAAAAAAGTTCACATATGCTATAACGGTTGTAGAGATCCCATTTCTCAATGCTTTGGCAACCAAAGGAAAAGGAAAGAAGGCAAAAATCTAGGTGTGTGTGAACCCTAAACTGGTTAAAATTATACAAACATATCGCTTATGAAAAGGTTAAAACTAAAAACATAAGAACTTCATTTTCCTAAAAATAAATTGAAACTTCAAGGCTATACTACTGTCAAAGAATTAGATGTGAACACATTTCACTTCATAATTGCATATCAGATGTTAAGCTCCAATGTATTTTACACTTAGAAAGATTTACCTAAGAAATGTGAAAAAAATCCCTTTTTTTTCCAATAACCCAGTTCCTAACAAACACTAACGAAAAAAGGGATGAAAATTTCACCTAATGATCACAGTCACAAAAGTCTCAATCAAATAAAAAACAAGAACACAACTCAAACATACAAAAAATAATAATATTTTTCACGTTTTTTTTCACCTCAAGAAAACAAGTTAATGAAAACTAAATTTTATTTAATTCCTCAACAATTTTTATTTCCTAGTCCTTTGTTAGACTGGTGCCTTCCGCCCTTGTGCTCCATTGAATCAAGTGATTCCACTAAACCACACGGAGCCCCCAAGTAATTTAGTCATTTGTTACTTATTATTATTTTGGTATAAATAAGGCTTAATATGATTAGGATTGTGGGGTGTTGTTGTCTTTATTTTCAGAGTTCAGGATTTGGGAGAGATTTGACCTAACTCTCGAATTGTAAGTTTACTTTTTTTATGTGTTTGGAATTGTGTTGTTTTGTGCCGTTAGAATAAAGTATTTTACAGTGTGCACAATACCTAAAAATTTTCGTTAGAACTACGAAAAATGACGGAGGAACATCAGAGGTAGCTATCTAAGTTACTGGGGTGTGACTTCGAAATTCAGTATCACCCAGGATTAGAGAATAAGGTCGTTGATGCCTTATCACGACATATGAAGGAACCACGATTGTTGGTATTGTTCGTTCCTTTCTTTTAGACTGGGAAGTCTTGAGGCAAAAAAAAAGTGAGGTAGATGAAAATTGAGCAAGATCCGGCCGGCTTTAGTGAATGACGAGAACAGCTATCCTTGAATACTATGTATTACCTAAGAATTCACAACACATACTGAAGCTATTGCAGGAGTTTCACAGCAGCGTTATTGGGGAGCTCTTGAGTGTGCTCCTAACATACAAGAGGACGACAACAGAATTATATTGGGTGGGAATGAGAAAGAATGAGCAGGATATGGTTTCATGTTGTGATGTATACCAACAGGACAAGTACATAGCGTTAGCACTTGGGGGGTTGCAACAACCTCTAGCATTGCCAGAGAAGATATGTGAGGAAGTGATAATGGATTTCATTGAAAACTTGCCTCGATTAAAATGATTTACAGTCATCTTGGTGTTGGTGGATTAGTTGAGCAAATACACTCACTTTATACCTCTATATCATCCCTATTAGGGCTGTCAAAATGGCTCGTTGTTCGCGAACAGCTGGTGTTCGGCTCGTTCACTAAGTTAACGAGTCGAACACAAACAACACAAATAAATTTTTGTTCGTTCGTGTTCGGCTCGTTTTGGCTCGAAATACTACTAATCAATTATATATATAGCTTTGATGAGTAGTATTTTAAAAAATTAATTGACTACAAGGCTACAAAGATTTATAATCAATTAAAAGTATTAATAAAAAAATAGAATAAAAATTATTAAATTAGATTCAAAAGATATTTTAAATTTTGCCCCAATCCTTAACAAACATCTTATGGA